ATGTCACACGGAATCAAAAATATGTATTCCATAGTTCCAAATAGACAAACAAGTTGACAAGTCATAGGACACCTTCCACGTCACAGGGATGGTAGTACGTAATTGTATTAATCCTTTTATAATATTAGAGTATGTATTTCATGTGATTGTCACAATGACAACTGGTTGAAGTAATTAGGGAAAGACAAAGACAACTTGACTCTTTTTCATATAGTACAGACTCAGAATTGGCTAGGAGACAAGTAACTTACTCAATAACAGAAGATTTTCCTCTATACACTGATATTGCAGTAGTGCATAATGTGAATGAACCACAAAATAAACCTAATCTCCATCCCCACATCCATGCACCACGGGCAAATCCTAGAGTAACCTGTCAAGAATAGAAATGGGTCTGCTTAGTAAAAACATTACATCTCCAAGACTATTGAATTGCATTGCATATTTTGCCATAAATTAGAGAGCAAATACAAAATACACAGGGTACCTTATCCTGAAGCTGTTTTTTAGCTTCAAATTGATTCTGGAATGCAGTAGCTTGATTTTTTTCAATGAACTTCAGGTAGTTATCACGTGAATGAATTGTACCACCAAGGATTGTGCCTGTAAATGCTCCCATCAAAGCTCCTTGTGTAACCTGCAACAGAACACAGTATGGAGAACATTATATAACAGAAGTGTTCTTAATAATTAAGTAAGGTTACAAATTTGGGACTTAAACAAGAAAAAAAATTGCATTTAGATTAATACAGCCCTTTATATATGTATAGATAGATTTTAAATGTTGTAAACAAGACCTTTTCTTCTTTTTTCACCTCGTCCAGTCAAGTTTCTTGTAATCTATTGATTGTAGATGGTATATGCAACCAATTTTAGTTAAATAATTATATCTCTCGTAATCCTTTTCCTTCATATTTGGAAATATTCTATTTTTTATTGTTATTACTATTTTAAAAACATTAATTATCTTAATGTCAGTAATAATAATACCAGTATTATTATTATTATTGTTAAGGGAAAAAAAATCCCAAAAATTCAATGAATGGGGAAACAAGGTGAGGTCTTTAACTTTTAGTAATTACTTGGTAGCTGAGTACTTGTGGAGCCATCTAATTGTAACAAAATTCACAAAAAAATACAGTAGATAGTACATGAAAAAAGCAACCTTTGGCTTTAGTGTATTTCATCATGGTTAAAAATTACGCTACAAAATCATTGACACGTCATAATGTCATTCACTGTGTAAAGTTCTTTACTGACACTGCACGTTAAGATGGAAGCAAAGCTGAATCCTTGTTTGATTGTACTAATTGTACAATAAATATATTGAAGTGGGCAGCCTTAATTTTTGTTATTTTGGGCACACCTCCCCCTGATTTATTGTTGTTACCTCCTGTACCCCCTCACACACACACACACCAGAAAATTCTCTGGACCTGCCCCTGCTAATCACTCTCCACCATAGAGACTAGCAGCCAGTTTGTTAAAATTGTGCCTGTCCCGACCCAATGAATTTTCATAAATACAGATGCAGAAATAAAGGCATATCTGTCTATATATCAGATACATGTACAATGAACCATCTATTTGCCGGGTTGATATGCATGTCTAGACTGATAAATATGCATTTATTTCTTTATTCATGCACGTCAAGTATACAAATATTCTTTGGGTCGGGCCTCGCACAATTTCAACAAACCGGCCATCAATCAAGATTATTACCTAGGTACCTTATCCCACTGAGCTGTTAAGTAAACAATGTGATTTTCACCGTCATGTAATTTGCTATAAAATTAAATTGAGTTCAGTTGTAGATTCCTGTATGAACGTAAGCTTGTTGCAATGCCGAGATACTGTAAAAATTGGTCGCCCTATGAAAGTAGTACCTTTGGTGCCATGGGAATATAGGACACATATGCTGGGAAGAACAGAAAGGAAAATATTACCTACAACTAAAACAGATTTATTGAGACCTGTCAGACCTTTTTTTTTAACATTACGAAAGTATCGATGATAAGCCATCAAAAATCTCTACATTTATTTTGTAAACACCGACCGGGTATGAAGTTGTCACTGCATGTAAGGTTTTCGAGAAACAAACATATTGGGAGTAATACCTGGGGTATTACTTACCATGCTGAGCTCGGGACTCATTTCGCCAAACTCGTCGTAGGTGAACATGAGCCGTAATCGGTCCCACCCGGTCTCGTCCGTGGGAACCTTCGCCTGCTTTACCGTCCGGACGTCTTGGTCGATAGAGTCCGGGTTCTCGAAAACGGAAAGAATGTTTATGCCGAGCAGCGCACCTCCTGGATGTCGCCATCTTCTTATGTTGTGACGAAAAGCGGCGAATTGAGGGTAGAATTTTGCGTAGTAGCCGCCGCCTGTCGCCGCCATCTTTGTTGTTATTGTTTGGGGAATCAGCTGATCGAGGTATGGGAATGTGTGCGCGCCGCCGGTCGCAGACTCGGACTGAGCGCTGATTGGCTAAGGCGCCTTGCCGACTCAAATCGCACCAATCAGCGACGAGTTTGTGGTGTTGCTTTGGTATTTCTATGGTATAGAAAAATTTTCCCATAAAACAAAAGTTTTGTGTGGAAAATGTCATTCGTCGGATACAGTGTTAATGTATTGCTTGGTTGACAATAAAGAACTTCGATTTTCAATGTAGTTTCACACAGTGGTTGGGCAGGTTAATGTCCGCAAGAATACGCACTCAATGAATTATTCGCTCGCTCTCTCTCTCTCTCTCTCTCTCTCTCTCTCTCTCTCTCTTCTCTCTCTTCTCTCTCTCTCCTCTCTCTCTTCTCTCTCTCTCTCTCTCATCTCATCTCTCTTCTCTCTCTCTTCCCCATCTCTCTTTCTCTCCTCCTCTCTTCCCCCCTCTCTCTCCTCCTCTCTCCCCTCTCTTCTCCTCTCTCCCCTCTCCCCTTCTCTTTCTCTCTCTCTCCCCCTCCTCTTTCCTCTCTCTCTCTTCCCTCCTCTTCTTCTCTCACTCTATTCTTCTCCTCCCCTCTCTTTTCTCTCTCTCATCGCCCCTCTCTTATTCTCTCTCATCTATCCCCTCTCTTTCTTCTCTCTCCTCTCAACCTGTCTCCCCCTCTCTTTCTTCTCCCTCTCTCCTCCCCCCTCTTTTTCTTCTTCCTCCTCTCTCCTCCGTCTTCCTCTTTCTCTCCCTCTTTCCTCCCCTCCTCTTTCTTCCTCTCGTATCTCTCTCCTCCCCCTCCCGGCCCGCATCTTCTCCTCTCTCTCTCTCCCCCCGCCTCTCCGTCCGTCTCTCTCTGCTTCTCGTCCTCTCCTCCGTTCTTCTTTTCCTCTCTCTTCTCGGTCTCCTCTTTCCCCCTGCTCCTCTCCCCCTCTATTCCTCTTCTCGGTCCTCTTTCTCTCCTTATTTCCCCTCTCTTCTCCTTCTATTCTTCTCTCTCTTCCATCCTCTCCTGTCTCTCTCCTCCAGTCGTCAGTCATCCAGATTCTAGGTCCGCCGTCTGCATTCTCTTCTCGCAGTCTCTACCTTCTCTTCCTCGCTCACTCCCAGCCGCACCCGCTGCGTAGCCCCGAACCACGATCCTGTATCTGCCCCCACGCCTCCTGCCTATTTTGTTCCTCTTCCTTCCTTTCTCGGTCGTTCTCATATGCTTCCACCCCCCTCGCATCCTGTTCCTTTCCTCGCTCCTCCGCTTTCTCGTCCGATCCCTTCCTCCCTCTTTTCTTCTTCTCACCTTCTTGCACTCTCATCTCTCTCCTTCCCCCGCACTCCTCTCTCCCGTCTCCGCCTCTTTCTTTCTCTCGTCCCCTCCCCTCTCTCTCCGCTTTCTCTCTCCACCCCTCCCCCTCTCATCTCGGATGTCTCTCCCCCTCTTCTCTCTCCTTCTTTTCTCCTCCCACTCCCGTGCCTTCATCCCTCGCGACCCCCTGACCTTTCTCTCTTTTTTTTCTTCTCCCCTCCCCCCTCGTCCCTCTCATACTTTCTCCTCCTCTCGCCTCTTTTCCTCCTTCCTCCTCATTCTCTGTTTTTTTACCTTTCCCTCCTCCTCCCTCCCTCCCTCTGCCTCTCTTTTTTCTCTCTTGCTCTCTTCTTCGTTTGTCTTCCCCCGTCCCCCTCTTTCTTCTTTTTCCCCTTCCTCCTCTCCCCTTCTTTTTTTCTCTCTTCCCGCTCGTTATCTTTCTCTCCTCTCTTTCTCCCTCTCTCTCTCAGCTCTCCTCTCTCCTTCTCTCTCTCTCTTCCTCCTCTCTCCATCTCCATCCTCCTCTCACCGTCTCTCTCTCTCCCTTCTCGTCTCTCTCTCTCTCTCTCCTCTCGTCCTCTCTCTCTTCTCTCCTCTCCGTCTCTGCCTCTCCCTCCCTCTCTTTCTCTCCCCCCCACACCCTCCCCTCCCTCCACCACAGTTTCACTTCGTCTTCCGTCAACAGCCTCTTCTTCCCAATTCTCATCATTTTTTCTCCCTCCCGCCCTCCTTCGTCCGCCCCATTTCATCTCTTTCCCATGTCCTTCTCCTTTCCTGCTTCCTTCTTATTTTTTTTTTCCTTTTTTTCCCTTACAACGCTACCCTGGCCCTTCCCCTTCTTACCGTCTGGCCTTCCCGTTTCACCCCTCTCCCTTCCTTCCCCCTCATCCCTTCCCCCTCCCCTCTCCTTTCCCTTCCTCCGCTCTCGCCTTCCCCTTTCCCTCCCTTTCCTTCCCCTCTCCCTTCCCCTTTCCTCCTTTCCCCCTCTCCTTCCCCCTTTTCCCCTTCCTCCTTCCCGCCTTCCCCTTTCCCTCTCCTTCCCCCTTCTCCCTTCCCCCTTTCCTCCCTCTCCCTTCCCCTTTCTCCTCCTGTCCCCTTTTCCCTTCCCCCCCCCCGAACGATGAGTTTATCTTACAAAGTGTTGTCCGAGATGAGCTAAGACTGACATTACAGATATTCCCATTTTCCACTGGATGTGGCAACCTCCTTTCCAGTTCCCATTCCCATTTCATCATCATCATCTTTTTAGGTAGCAATAAAATGATAGGTGTTATATTTGCTCTTAAGATATTTATTTATGATATGTACAAGTACTGAGCTACTACAAGTATAAAGTTGTAAATATAAAAATGCATATGATACAGCATAAAGGTTCTCTCTCTCTCTCTCTCTCTCTTCTCTCTCTCTTCTCTCTCTCTCTCTCTCTCTCTCTCTCTCTCTCTCTCTCTCTTCTCTCTCTCTCTCTCTCTCTCTCTCTTCTTCTCTCTCTCTCTTATCTCCTTACCTTCTTATATTATAATATTCTCTCACGCTCCTCCGTTAAAAAAGAGCACGTGATATGAAATATACAGTAAATGAACTTAGGAATGGAAATGAAGGCGATGATTTCAAAACTCGAGATGACTAGTGAGATAAACCTGGGGCCCCGCCAAGGGAGTGCCACCAGCCGCCCAAGCCGCGTGTGCCTGCCAGCGTCATGCACGACAGGGTCACTCTCGCCACGACGCCTGGTTCCTGCCCGTGACGATCCTGCTGTGGTCGGGGTGGAGGAAGGCGTAGTACCCGATCAGGCTGCAGAGGCCGATCATCCACAGGGCCTCCACGCTGAAGATCATCGTCACCAGGAACCACAGCTGGTACGCCTGCTGCATCTGCAACGCGCGCGGCGGCAGGAGAGAGGGGATGGATGAGTCGGTGTTCGCGGGAGAGAAGTGAGTGTTGTGAAGGGGGAGACCGGGCGTGTGGGATGATGATTTTTGTTGATGTTGTGTTTTGGTTTTGGTTTTAAGTGGGGAAGTTTAAAAGCGAAGATGAGGCGTAGTTTTGCCTTTTCGGAATTGGGTGTTTTATTAATCGTCTCTCTATGAGAAAGACCGTGCGAACTCACCTCCACAAACCAGACGGCGATCATGGTGGAGTTCTCGGCGAAACTGATGGTATAGAAGAAGGTCATCCTCTTGCGGGACGGCGTGTCCTTCAGGTTGATGTAGCAGAAGATGTGCACGATCCCCATGACGCCGTTGTAGAGCAGCTCCAGCACGGGCCGCCGCGAGCCGTCGTCGTTGGAGCAGAAGGTCGTGTTCTGGCGGAGAGAAGAAAGAGGCGGGTGGCAGGAGGCGCTGCTGGGGAGGGAACCCTGCCTTTGGGGGGGCTGAGGGCGGTGTTTTGGATTATGGGAAAAGATTAGGGGGGTTTCAGCCACGAAATGAAAGGGGAATTTTCTACCACGGAAAGAGTTTGGGGAATTTTCAGCCACTGAGGGATTGTGAGAGTTTCAACCGCGGGGACAGAGTAGGTCTTCAACCCTGGTAAGAGAGAGGGAGATGGCGAGGCCTTACCTGAGCGTGTATCCAGACGGTCATGATGACCCAGTGTACGAAGAGGACGATGCCGGTGATGAGGGCGAACGGGATGAAGACCTTGCCGTCGCTGGTCATGCGAGGGAAGAACACGCTGTGGTTGGTTTCTTCCTCGGGAGGCTGCGAACAACGGCGGGGAGAGGAGAGATAAGTTTCGTTTTTATTTCAACTGGGATTTCTTAGTTCGCTCATGAGGCATAGTTAGAACAGCGCCGGAGGAAAGACACTCACGATGATGGAGGCAAAGGTGGCGATGGCGATGACCCTGGAGGCGACCATGCCGGAGCGCCAGAAGAGGCAGGTGGTGGTGCCGCCGCAGGACAGCTGCTCCTTGTTGGGCACGGAGCGGCGGAGCTCGTCCTGGTAGGACACCAGCGACCACGAGATGGCCATCACGCCCACCAGCACCTTCCACACCTGCACCGCGATGGCTGAGAGGGCGCGGGGCTTCGTTAGTGACGTCGGTATTGGAGTTTAACGTGTGTCATTGGCAAACTTCATTAGTACGGTAGATTTCGGATAAAATTCCGTTAAAGGTGGATTACAAGAGGACCGGTTTTCCCCGTCAGCACTTACTGAAGGTGTTGTTGGTATCGGTGCCCGTAATGATCTCGGGACTGCGGTAGAGGAGGAAGATCTGGAAGACCAGCTGCGGGGCGTCCTGGAGGAAGCTGTGCATCATGTCCAGCATCGCCGTGTCCCGAGAAATGACCTGCGAACAGAAAGGAAGCGTTTTGCGTTGCTGTCATTCCCGTGCAATACTTAAGTTATCTACACATCTAATGAACAAATACGTATGCTTTTCTACGCCAATCCACGAGGGCGCGACGAAGCCACCCACCATCTGGAGCACCGCGTGGACCTCCCCCTTGGGCGTCCGCCTCATGACGGCGCCGTGCTCGCCCATCTCCACCTCGCGAACCTCCCGCTGCATCTTCAGCCCGTAGCGCATGATATCCAGGTACCTGCAGCAGGGAACGAAAGAGAGGCAGTAGCGCACGGACGTGGAATTAGCACATAGAAGAAAGGATGCGACGTTAAGTGAGAGAATGCGGCGTACCTGATGAGAGGCCCGAGGAGGAGGAGGTGAAGGATGACCCTAACCGTTGCTTGGCCTCGACTCATCTTGTGAAGGACGCAGTAGTCTCCGAGACATAGCTTGTTCTGCCAGTACCACAAAAGACTGTCGGCGGGGAGAGAGAGAGAGAAAACAAATACGATAATAATGAAAAATTAAAAGGTAATATAAGCAATTACTTCCGATCGGTCACATTAAAAAAATAAAACAAAAACAAACGAGAATAGACGCAGCAGAACGTAAAAAAAAAGAAAAAAGAAAAAAAAACATTTAATTACGATTTAAGGAGTTTATAAACATTTATAAACTGAATCGACGGCGTAGTTGGATGACCCGCTTACCTAAAGAGATTAAGGATGACCATGGGGATGACGATGATGCAGAGGGTGATGATGAACCACGTCATCGCCTCCTCACTCGCTGCCTCATCCGCGGCGTCGGCGGCCTGTGAGAACCATCGAGTCATTGTCGGGTTTCTCTTTCCTTTTTCTATCTCTCTCTTTCTCTTGTTCTCTTTCTATTTTCTCTTCTCTTCTCTTCTTTATCTTACTTACTTTATCTCTCTCTCTTTCTCTTACTCTCTCTCTTTCTTTCTCTACTTTATCTCTCTCTCTCTCTCTCTCTCTCTCTCTCTCTCTCTCTCTCTCTCTCTCTCTCTCTCTCTCTCTCTCTCTCTCTCTCTCTCTCTCTCTCTCTCTCTCTCTCTCTCTCTCTCTCTCTCTCTCTCTCTCTCTCTCTCTCTCTCTCTCTCTCTTTCTCTCTCTCTCTCTCTCTCTCTCTCTCTCTCTCTTTCTCTCTCTCTCTCTCTCTCTCTCTCTCTCTCTCTCTCTCTCTCTCTCTCTCTCTCTCTCTCTCTCTCTCTCTCTCTCTCTCTCTCTCTCTCTCTCTCCTCTCTCTCTCTCTCTCTCTCTCTCTCTCTCTCTCTCTCTCTCTCTCTCTCTCTCTCTCTCTCTCTCTCTCTCTCTCTCTCTCTCTCTCTCTCTCTCTCTCTCTCTCTCTCTCTCTCTCTCTCTCTCTCTCTCTCTCTCTCTCTCTCTCTCTCTCTCTCTCTTTCTCTTTCTCTCTCTCTCTCTCTCTCTCTCTCTCTCTCTCTCTCTCTCTCTCTCTCTCTCTCTCTCTCTCTCTCTCGACTCTGATCGCTTACCTGGCGCCACAGGACGTAGGCCAGGAGTCCGTCGGAGACAATGTCGACGACGAAGAGGACGATGTTGACCACCACGCCCACCACGCCCATCAGGCCGAAGGAGGCGTTGACGTGGACGGGCGGGTCGCGCAGCATCTGTGGGGCGCGAGGGGAGGGAGGGGAAAGGTTAGGTCAACGAGGGGACGGTGTTTGGCTTCGGTTTTGGATCGAGGGGAAGAAGGGTGGCTTGGGCATTATTGGTATTTTTTCACGTTATTATTATTGTTGTGATTGATTGTTGTTATTTATTATTATTTGTTGATTATTATTATTATTATTATTGTTATTATTATTATTATTATTATGATTATTATTATTATCATTATTATCATTATTTATATTTTTATTATGATATTGCCTACTTGTTTTATTATCATTATTATCATTATTATTTATATTTTTATCACTGCTGTTATTGCCATTGCTGCTCTTGTTACTTTATTATTAATATTTTAGTATCATGACCACCACTTCTCATTTTTGTACCGCGGTTAATATTAAGATTGGAATCGGACAGTCTGCATCGCAATTGTATCATTATCACCGTCGATCTGCGGGTCCGAAAAATATCACTCGCACTCAGAAATATTATCTTTTTGTGTTACAACATGTTTACGTAACGAAGCTTCCTGTTTGCCAGAGGTTTTGTATCACCCCACACCTCCCCCCACCCCCATCCACTACCTCCACTCCACCCCCACACCTCTACCTCCCACCCCCCACCCCCAACTCACCCCCACCTCTACCCCCACCCCCCACATCTCTACCTCACCCCCCCCCAACTTCTACCCCCCCCCATACCCCCACCACCCATACCCCACCACCCCACCCACACCTCTACTCCACCACCCATCCCCACACACCCCACAACAGGTAATTGTATAACGTAATTGTCTTATTGGGGTAGGTGGGGGTGGGGGGAGAAGGCGAAGCGAAGGGGGGAGTTAGGAGGTAGTGTTTCCATGGCGACGGGTCTATGGTTTGTTCGGCGCGTTTCTGTCTGTCTGTGTCTGTCTGCATGATGATGATTCAGCGTTTCGGTGAGTTTGTCTTGTGTGTTTGGCGGTTTTATGAATCAGCGTCTTTGCAATGAGGGTTTTTTGTTTGTTGTGGTTGTTTGTTTATGGCTTGGTTAGATTATTATTATTTTAATATTTTCCCTCGCCACGTTTTTTCTTCTTCCTCTACTTCTTCCTCTTCTTCTTATTTTTCTTTCCTTCCTTCCTTCTCCTATACTTCTTCTTATTATTATTATTATTATTCTTTCCTTCCTTCTCCTCTTCTTCTTTCCTTCCTTCTCAACTTCTTCTTCTTTCCTTCCTTCCTTCCTTCTCCTCAACTTCTTCCTTCCTCCCTTCTTTCCTTCCTTCCTTCCTTCTTCTCCGTCTTATTCGTATTCTCTTTCCGCTCCAGTATTAACTAGTTCCAACCCCATACCACGAGACCATCGACATACATTACAATTCAAAAATAACCGTTTTCTCAATTTGCATATTTAAGCCGTCTATTGTTTTCATAAATAGAGTGATGATGTGACCTGTTTATTGGGGGGAAGTTGCTGTGGCGGAGAACGTGGTGTGTGTCCTGTTATTTCCTGTTTCTTTCTCTGCCTGTCTATCTGTCTGTCTATTTGTATATCTGTCTGTCTTTCTATCTTTCTCTTATTCTGTCCTTTTCCTCCTTGACCCTCGCCTTTCCTCTTCTCTTCTCTTCTCTTCTCTTCTCTTCTCCTCTCACCTCTCTCTCTCTCTCTCTCTCTCTCTCTCTCTCTCTCTCTCTCTCTCTCTCTCTCTCTCTCTCTCTCTCTCTCTCTCTCTCTCTCTCTCTCTCTCTCCCCCCCCCTCCTCCCTCCTTCCTCCCTCCCTCCCTCCCTCCCTCCCTCCCTATCTCTATCTCTATCTGCCTGTCTATCTCCCGCAATTTCTCCCTCTCTTCCCGCCCTTTCTCCCCATTCGCTTTAATTACATTTCTCTTCTTGGCTTTCCTGCGTCCCCTTTCCCTTCCACAATCTATAATTGTTGCGTGTTGAAGAAGTTTATTTTCAGAAACCGCCGCACGCATTCACTTAGGAAAAATGTTGTGAGTTTCAAATGTTAATTCGGGAGATTGCCGCCATGAGTCACGTGATCCGCCAGCCAATGAAGCGGGATTTAGCTGATAATTTTTATTATCACGTGATCAGGGTTACTTTTCAGATGATTTTTGTGGATGTTTCGTGTGGAAAGACCGACGTTATTCTCGCTCGCTTGTCTTTTTTTTATGCGTGATAAGTGTGACATCTTTTCTTCTGTTTTATTTGTCCCTGGGGTCTTTTGGAATCGGTTCACACCTTTGGCAAAGGATCGTATGCTGGCGGTATGGATGATTCAGCGTCGATGCTAAATAATTTCAGCGTCAATTCGGAAGACAAATGCGGAAGACAAGCGACATTATTTTCAAAGCTGTTTCTTTCGGACTCTAGTCTGATTTTAACTCGAGATTAGATTGATGTCGCAATCACACTCGCTGCCCCCACCCCACCCCAACACCACCCCCATCTCTATCGTTCAGCAGGAAGCAGAAGCGCGTGCGTGCCTCTCCGTGTGTTTGCCCCGCGCGGAAGGCAGCCCCGAGAGCAGCACCCCTTTTCCCATTGGCACTTTCCCCAAACACGCCCATTTCCTCACCTCAGGTCGGAGTAGCGATCCTGCCTCGGATGCGCGTTCCATCGTTAATTGGCGGTTAATTAGTCGGGTGTTCCGGCAGGTGAGCGGCTACATGCCCTCGCGGAACATGGAAGCCGCAGTGTGTGTTTGGGAAGCAGAGAGTGACTGCCTGTCTGGCTGGCTGGAGTGCACCCCAGTGTGTCCGAACAGGCGCTATCTCGCTCCATGACAGAACGCTTAAAATGCCTAGATAGCAGGAATATTTATTTCGCCTCGGGGCTGCGTGTTTTGCCTCCGAGAAGGGAACGTAAGGGAGAAAAGGGAGGGAGGGAACGGACTGGCTGCGCAGTATCCTCCCTGATCTCAATGCTAACGATTCGTTCACACTTTCTTCCGACGGATTTCGACAAGACATGCACTAGTTCGGACATTTCAACGGTCCTTGCGAGAGGCACGACGCCACCTGATTAGTGATGAGCCCTGACCTTGTGGAGTGGCGATGGCGGCCGTGGGGGCGAGCCAGGAGCAGTCGTCGCCTGTGCGCAGGTGAAGAGGCGCCTTGGGTACCCGTTAGTGCCCAGGGGTACAGGTCAGCTGGTACTGGGGCACGGTCGGACGCCTCCCGCTAGCGCCACCTCATTTGCCTTGCCTTGTCGCTGATACATTATCTGGCCGATAATACCTCGCTCTCCACGTGGAGCCGCCGTCACTCCCCGGGCTCCCGTGTTGTCATTGGGGAGCGGGGAGGCGCTGCGTGGGGACTGGCAACTCGGTCTGCTTTCTTCCCGATGTCGCGGCGTCGCGCTTGACCATTCGCCTCGCACGAAGCCTCTGCAGTTGCACTCTCAGGGCGGCAGCATGGCACCGGGACAGAGCAATTAGGGGGGGAAAGAATGAACAGAACAATAGGGGGGAAAAGAAGAAACAGAACAGGTGGAGGCGAGATGGGAAGGAACGAATGCGTAGTCGTGGCCGTCACCCGATCCCATGCAACACTGACCCGCCTTGGAGTTGCACACACCCTGCCCCCGACGCCACGCACCTGCATACGCACACACTTTTTTGTTGTTCGCACGGAGGGGGGGGGGGTAATAAGAAGGAAGGACGTTTGCATTTCTCTTCCTCTCTGTCTATCTGTCTATCTTCTCTTCTCTCTCTCTCTCTCTCTCTCTCTCTCTCTCTCTCTCTCTCTCTCTCTCTCTCTCTCTCTCTCTCTCTCTCTCTCTCTCTCTCTCTCTCTCTCTCTCTCTATAATATATATATATATATATATATATATATATAATATATAATATATATATATATATATATATATATATATATATATATTATATTATATATATTCTCTCTCTATCTCTTTCTTTCCTCCCTCCTCATCTCCCTCCTTCCTTCCCTCCTTCCTTTCCTTCCTCCTTCCCTCCTTCCCTCCTTCCCTCCTTCCCCTCCTCCCTCTCATATCCACGATAACAAGAGGAGATGCTTGTCTGGCGATGAGGTGTGACTCTTCATTAATGGGGAGGAGGGAGGCGGGAGAGGGCGGGCGAGGCCGAGGGTTGAATGCCAAGTCCTCCGTCAGCGACTTCTTCACGCTGTGTGGCGAAGGAGGAACCCCAGAGGCAGGATTTCGAGGTGGAAGGAAGACGCAGGAAACAACGTGGATGATAATAGCGTAGTCGATGGAGTAAAACATGTATAAATATATATAGTATATATATATATATATATAATATATATTTATGAAATATAGTCCTGGTATTGATATTAAGAGGAGAATATGTAAGCACGTTGTCGATTTTTTTTTTCGTCTGTGGATGGCTGGGATTTTTTTCGTAAGTGTTGTGATTTTGGGGGAAAGAGAAAGAGATGGCGACGAAGGTCAGAGGTCAGGAGGGGGTGAAAGAAGCCGCGGGGAAAGTGTCAGGACTTCAAGGTCAAGGCGAAGAAGGTCAGCGCTGGGTCAAACCTTTTGCTGAATAATGCCAAACAATTGTCACTTTTTTAAAATTTATTTTGTTTTTTATTTATTATTTATTGTCTTTGTTTATTTTTTTCGTTTTTTGTTTTACAGATTTTTTCTGTTCTTTTCTTTCATCTTTTTTTATTTTATTTTTTTATTGTTTTTTCTTTTAAACCTTTTTAGGGATTTTATGTAATGATTATTAATTCACATAGTATTGATTGTTATCCCTATTTTGGCATTTTTTTGGCTAATGTGGAGTCCATGTAATATATACACACACACACACACACACACACAACACACACACACACACACACACACACACACACACACACACACACACACACACACACACACACACAACATATACACACACACACACACACACACACTATCTATCTATCTATCTATCTATCTATCTATCTACCCTTCAGTTTATCTATCCATCTATACTTGCTCAACGATTATTACGGTATCGCTTTTATCATATAATTAGCTCTAATTGAAGCGTCGGTTTTGAGGCGAGTTTAATCTTGAGATGTGAGAGATAAAAATGAAGGGGGGAAGGGGAGCGGGGGGGGGGGGAGAAGGAACCGTTACTGATAACAACATGAAACGATAAGCTAATCAGCATGGAAATATCACAAGTCTTTTTGTGATTGCGTTTTGTTCTGAAATGTTATGTTTTTTTGTTCCCGCGTCATCAACTACGGCCGCTGACCCCAATAAACAGAATCTGTGGTTTTATTTGATACGTATAATAGTAACGATGATGATGGTGATGATAGTATTAATGGTGATGATAATGGTAATAATGATAAGGCGTTTTGATACCGTCGTCTGGTCTCCGGTTAGGTCAGAGTTCAGGGCGATAAAAGGTTTATTTCATGTCCAATAAAACAGCTGATCGAACGTTGGTGTTGCGTAAAGGCTGTGGATGGAAATGGCCGTCGTCGGTGCTGCCGGTGGGTGGGTGGGGGGGGAGGGGAGGGGGAGATGGTGTTGGTTAGGGTTTTCGGTGGTGGCGGTTCAGGTGTTGGCGTTCCTGTTTACTTGTTTGTTTGTTATGTCATTTGTCATGCCGCATTATTTGTGTAAAATGCACACAAACACACACATACACTCGCGCAAGCGCATACACACAACACACACACACACACACACACACACACACACACACACACACACACACACACACACACACACACACACACACACACACACACAACACACACACAAACGTATATGCATATATATATATATATATATATATATATATATATATATATATATACATAATATATATATATATATAATATATATATATAATATATATATATAATATATATATATATTATATATATTATAATATATATTATATAAAATACCATATATATATATATGCATGCGTGTGTGTGTGTGTGTGTGTGTGTGTGTGTGTGTGTGTGTGAAATGTATATATATTTATTTATTATACATATACATACATACATACATACATACATGTACAGACACACACATATATAATGCATATATATATACAGGCACATGTGTACGAATGTATGCATTATTTTTTCTATGGAATAGTTTTTTTACACTGAGAAACACAATGTTTGGTGCGATGGCTGTTTGATAATTGTTGCACACACGCAAGCAAAATAAACTACTAAACGGAAGAAAACTGTCCTGGAATCATTGGCATTTGTGCCAGTGGACAGATTTTTATTTTAATTAATGGGCCGAATTGAACACGATTCGGAGTCGACTATTTCGTTTCTTGGCGTGTCGTTCTGGATGTCCGCGTCAACATGTATGTTAAATTGCGTTGTTTGTGTCAGTTTTTTTTTCGTGTTGACAGGTTGGTTGTCACCTACGGATAGTTGTGTCGTGTCTGTTGTCATTTGATAAGGTTAGGGTTGATAAGTATGTCAAATAGCTTTGTTCAGCGCAGGGTTTGGTATCCTGAGTTTTGAGGGAGAAAAAAACAGTTTAAAAGGCTACGTATAGAATGATGTGTTTGACGCTTTGTTTGGACTTCAAATGCCATTTTTCGATTGGCTTCTTGGCTGTGCGAATCACCTCTCCCCCCCCCCCCTCCGTGTGTGCGAATCACCTCCCCTCGTGCTATCTTTCTCTACACTCTCTCTCTCTCTCTCTCTCTCTCTCTCTCTCTCTCTCTCTCTCTCTCTCTCTCTCTCTCTCTCTCTCTCTCTCTCTCTCTCTCTCTCTCTCTCTCTCTCTCTCTCTCTCTCTCTCTCTCTCTCTCTCTCTCTCTCTCTCTCTCTCTCTCTCTCTCTCTCTCTCTCTCTCTCTCTCTCTCTCTCTCTCTCTCTCGGAAATGAATTGGCTGTTTTACGGTAGATACCATTGTTGGAATTGAAAATGTGAAGAATATATTTTTGACAGCGTATGTTCTTGGACATTTTATATCGCCTAATGATTGTTTAGGACTTTTCTATAGAAAATTATGGAAACGGCAAATTACAATGTAGTAGTAGAAAAAACACAAGACAATCTTGTTTTGTTTATTGTATTATCAGATCTTGAAAAAAAGTTGTGGTTTTAGGGAACCCTATTTATCTATGGAATATCTTTTTATCTTGAACGATATGACTATCGCTGCTACACCGCAGACTGACTTGTTTGTTAATTATTTTTTAATGTAATTTTCCTAATAATAGGTGTAGCGATACACATTGCCAGCGCATGGAAGGAATCTCACACCTTGCCCTCTATTGCTATCTTCTACCTTATTTCTTTCTTTGTGTGTGTGTGTGTGTGTGTGTGTGTACGTACTTGTGCATGTGCGTCAACGAGTGTGTATGTATGCATGTATGTATGAGTGCATTTTCATTCTCTGTTAGCGCGATGTCACAACATACCTTCGGGAAAGACACGGACTTCTTGCGCACCGCCATCGTGCGCGGGTCCTCGGCCAGGTCCAGGCTGGAGGAGGACATCCACAAGTACACGACAGTCCTTCGGAGGGGCATGGCGGCGTCCTTGGAGGGGCAGGTCCTCGCGTTTTAGTTTCCCACGAGGGAGGGGAGCACTATGTGGCGCTGGGTTTAGTATCGATCAAAAAAAAAAAAATGATAACACGGGAAGGATTTCATAAAGGTGCGTCCTGTGGATTTTTTGTGGAGAGATGGAGGATTTCTTTGCGCCTTCTCAGATTGCACGTCCTGTCTTCTGTCGCCTCCTTCCTCCTACACACTTGGCGTCGAGAAGGTTTGGCGCCGGAGGAGGAGGAGGAGGAGGAGGTGGGAGTGAGGGGTTGGACGGCGTCACGCCCCCTTGCCTCGCCTTTCATCCCCTGACCTCCTCCTCCCTTTTCCGACCCCGCCTTCGTGCTTCTCCCCCCCCTCTCTCTCTCTCTTTGCTTCTGTCTCTCGTCATTCTTTCCTTCCTCTCCTCATTTCTGTTTCTCTGGATTCTCTTGATTCTCTGCCCCCTCCTTTCTGTCTTTCTTTCTTTCATTCATTCATTCATTCCATACTTCTCTCCACTGTTTCTCCGCCCGTCCCTTCCCCCCCCCCCCCATATATATATATATATATATATATATATATATATATATATATATATATATATATATATATATATATATATATATATATATATATATATATATATATATATGAATATATATGATATCTTCCCCCATTCTCACTCTCACTCTCACTCTCCTCTCCTCTCCTCTCGCCTCCTCCCTCCGCCCTTCTCATACCTCCCCCTTTCGTCTTACTCCGACTTGGCAAACGGAAACATTGTCTCTCGTAATTGCATCATCAGAAGCCCCGTTATTCTGGAAGGAAGGGCAGCGGTCGGAAGAGAGTCCGAGCGTGGGCGTGGGCGTTTGGGCGGAAGAAGAAGCAGATTAGGTGACAGTGGGCGTGACGAAAGCGATTCTCCCAGACGCCCAATACTTTCGCGACGTCCTTTTCGTCTTTTCGTTTCTCTTTGTTTCTGTCTTTCTCTTTCTCTTTCTCTTTTATTTTCTTTCTCTCTTTCTCTCTTTCTCTTCTCTCG